CTTTACATCGCCGGCGGAGAGGGTAGCGAGGGCGCCGGCCGCAGACTCGTCGCAGCACGCGAGCTTCATCGGCGAGATCTCGCCGATCAGGGCCATTTTCGGGTCGCCGGCACCGTCGACGACGGCGACGGCGGTCTGCTCGGTGAGAGCGAGGGAGATGGCGGGTATGGCCATGGCGGCGGAAGAGGAGTAATCGACGGCTAATACGGAGGAGGAGCTGTTGATGATGCCTAGGTCGGCGATGGAGATCGACGGGAGAGGAGAGAAGAGTCCGATCGAGCCGAGGAGGAAACGGACGATGTCTTCTTGCGTGATCCAGCAGAATTGGCGACCGTTCTTGTGGACGGAGGCGGTGACCGAAACGGCGCCGTTTTGGCTCTGCAGCTTCTGATGTCTTCGTTTCGTGATGGATTTTGTCTGAATCGGGACAACCAGGTTCTGCGCCCCTCGGATGATCAGATCGATGGCTTCAAGCAAACTGAAGCACAGAAGATTGTACCAAATTACATTGATTCAATGAAAAATTAACTGAAAACAGAACGAAATCTCAAATCTGGTCAAGAAAACAGCTGGAAACACGGGAAAACTGAGCATAACGGAAAAAACAGAGACAAAACTCGAGATTTCCGAGAAAACCAAGGAAATAAAACGCTGTCTGAATTCCATCATATATACACGGACATATACACGTGTATGTATGTATGTAAATACCTGCAGGAGGGTTGAACATGGACAACGAGGGCACGAGTTTCGGGGAGAAGAACAGAGACGGGTGCTTTCAATGCAGCAGAAGGAGACAAGAGGGTTTTCTCGTCTTTGGACAAGTGGCAGATCACATCGGCCATGCAGATCTTTCCGACACACTCACACTCCGACCCATCGTCCTCGTGGTTGCAGCTCCAGACGCTGAGGAAGGGCTCGCCGGAGGATTTTAGGGCGGAGACGGCGTCGGAGACGGTGGCGGAGGCGGCGGAGAGACACCGGAGCGGTGGCTTGCCGAGACAGAGGTCGGATACCTCGCGAGACAGGAGGCTCACTGCCATGCACGACGAAAAAAGATCTGAAGAGAGGGGATGTTGGAAAACGAGGGATGCGGAAAGATGATGAGAGAAATAGGTATGGGGGAGAAATTTATAAAAGAAAAGTCATGGGTACGGTGTAAGTACCTACAGCTAAGTGGGGCCCAACTAATTTCGTTTTTCCTATTTTTATATTTTATAATTTATATAATATACTCTGCCAAAGAAAATTATTTTTCCGGACCGCCTAGAACACAATAGAAGAGTTTGAATATTTGTTATTTTCCGGAAAGCGAATTTAATACCAAATTAGTAGAATTTGAAATTTTTTCTATGTTTCCGGAAAGCGAATAAGGGAGTATAAAATATAAAAAGCTAACAAATAAATTATCTCCCTTATTTCATACCAATTATAAACATAATTCGCTGCTAGATACCAAGTGTTTGGTAAATGTTTTAAAAAATATGCAAGAGTTTATTATATATGATATTGTAAAAAGCTAAATTAGATAAATTTGAAATGAATAATTTTTTTTTTTTAAAAAAGAATGAATAGACTTTTAAAGTGTAATCAATCAGTGGCCAATGCAAAACAACCTCAATCTATTTGATTGTATTTGGTCCTTTTCGACTTTTTCTTTCCCTTTTTGCGACAAAAAATTCAGCACAACTTTTTATTTTAATGTTTCTTTTGAACTTTTCCATTAAGTTTTAAATTCAATTATGAAAATAAAAATAATCTGTCTTTTTTTTACAATAAATTCAGTTTTTTTTTAAGCCAGCAAGGTGGCAGTGGACCTGGTTTTTTGTGCTCTTTTTCAAGAAACATTTTAATGCTTTTAATTTAATGTCGCTTTTGTTTTGTGAAAGGACTCCACAAAATAAAAATAAAAAAAACATAGTTCTAATAATAGCTCAGCTAAGGGGAGTCTTCCATCCAATATAAAACAAATTCATAAATAAATAACCGAATTATTCCTGCAGTGCCTTAATAATTTCGTTAATATTAATTTTAGAATTATGTGAATTTAGCTGAAAATATCGTAATTATTTTTGCTATATGATATCATATTATTCAATCTGTTGTGCTCATAAACGGACATTAGGACAATCTAGTCGTCAGAAATACGAACGTATTAGAAAACATTTATAGTTTTTAGCGACAAATTATCTTTACCATAAAAATTATATTATAAATAATAAATTTAAAAATAAACATAAATTTGGATAATTCAACCAATATAATGGACACAAAGCGTTTGTTATGTCTCAAATTTGAATTTCAAATCTAAAGAAATACTATGTATTACTTCAAATTAGTTAATTTCGGGTACACAATTACCCAAAAACAAATGAAAACAATTGCATATCCACCACTCTAAACGATGCCACTATTATTTATTATTAAAAATATTTTGTACTATTTGTTAAAATACTTTTCTTTTTAATTTTTTTGTTAAATTAATGTATCGCCAAAATCGAGTCGTGGGGTCCGCCACGTGGATATATGACAAATGGATTAGGCCCCACTTTTACTTGATAGTAAAACTAAGTCGATGTCATATGAATTAGACCCCACTTTTTTGTTGATTTAGTTTTTTTTTTTGTTGTGGAAGATGTTTTTTTTAATGAAAATTGGTTGTATTATTCAAAATTGGTGGTGCACAGACCATGATCCTCGATCCACATTAATTACATGTTACCAAACCAAATAAGCAGTCACTAAACGGTCCCAATAGGAATTGCAACAAGCAAATGAATTTATCGTCTACACTTGTCTACGTCTCGATTGGGGGGTGGATGAGTAAGTACCATTTCTGCAAAAAAATATTGTTTGCAGAATTTACTGTCCTCTGCTGCGCGAGGAGGGTGCTTCGTATTGTCCTATCCAAGTTTTCACCAAGTATCTCCGCTGAAACCCGTGTGCTAAGGAATGTTCGAGCGTTTCTTTCTATCTATAGGGCGTAGATCCCGTGTTGTATAAGGATCTTGCCTAGGATCCTCCTCATGTGCTCATCCCTTTCTGGAATGCTCTCAGCCATGCTAGACAACCGTTGATGGTAGTTGGCGGGTTCCACCAGATCCTTGCCGCCATTCCCTACCAGCAAACTGTGCTGTATGGGTAGGTGAAGAATAGATAGTCATGTGTCTCTTCTGCCGTATTGCATAGCTTGCACGTTGCCTCCTGAACAAGGTTCCACCTAAGTAGTCGGTCTCGCGTTGGCAACCTTCCCTGCATCACAATCCAGTAGATAAATGCAGTTTTCGGAGTTACCTGCAGAAACCATACCATTTGAGCCGAGTCCACTTGTGCATGAGGCTGTCGCGTCAGTCTCCAGGTCGCCTTCGTGGAGAAGGCGTTGGAGAAACTGTTTCCCGAATATCTCCATTTGAATCTGTCATCTCCCTACTCGTCCGATGGTGGTGGAATCTGCAGTAGTTTGATGTGGACCTCCTGAATTCGTTGCGATCGTGCTCCCGGCAGGTACCATTGACCCGCTTGTGTTGCTTCGTGTACTCTTGCATTTTGCGGGATTCAGAGCAGCCTTGGTCCCTCCGTACCGATGTAGTTCAGCAGCGGTCTGAGGCCCGTCCAGTCGTCATGCCAGAAGAAAGCTCTCTTGCCATCACCCACCACGCATCGGATGAACCCACGTGCCAAGTTCTGTAATTTGAGTAACCTCCGTATGTTTCATGATAAGTTTGGTCTCGACTTAATAGTCCAATAAGGATAATCTCTGAGTATGTATGCCTGGAACCATGCAACCCATAGTGAGCCTCCATTTTAAAAAGAGATCATACCATTTTGAGTCATGAAACCTGGTTTGTTTCTGCCAGCGGTCGGATTTCTAAGCCCCCTTCTTTTTTCTGTCTACACAATGAGCTCCATGCAATTTTGGATCTCCCCGAACTCGTGGTCGAACATTTCCACAAGTAGGTTGAGCAAAGTGCATCAATTTTACGCATTACAGCTTTTGGTAGGAGAAAGACATGACTCCAACTGTATACCATGCCATACACCACTGTCGAGATAAGCTGGACTTTTCCCGCATACGACAAGAATCTATTCGCCCAACTCTCTATTTTCTTCCCGATCTTGTCCAGCATTGGTTCATAATCCACCTCCCTTAGCCTGCGTGGTGAAACTGACAATCGAGGTAGTGCATCGAAAAGTTTCCTCGCCCAATACCTATGACCGAGATCAGTTCTGCCATTTCTGCTTCATTTGTTCCCCCAAAGAAAACTTCAGATTTCTCCGCATTTATCATCAGCCCAGATACTTGTCCAAACCATTGTAAAACATCACATATAGCCCTAAAGGATGAAGGGTTGGCCTTACTAAAAATGATCAAATCATCCACAAAGACTAAATGTGTAATTTCTGGGTTCGAGCATTTCGAGTGTAGCTGCAAGTGTCCTAAATTGGTCTCTGTGTCTAATTTCCTAGACAACACTTCCATGACAATGAGAAACAAATAAGGGGATAGGGGATCCCCTTGACGAAGTCCCCTGTGTCCGCTGAAAAACCCCAACAGTTCCCCATTCACATTGAATGCCAACCAAAAGGGGCGATTAGGTCTTCTCTCTCTCTGAGAGCGACCCCGACAGTGCCAACTCCCCAACACCGGCCGGCCGAAAAATCCACCGGACGAGCCCACTGCTGTCTGGAAAATGCCCCCCTCCTCCGTTCCGTGTCCGTTCCTGCCACTCTCCCATCAAGATCTGGAAATCCCCAGAAACACTTGGCGCCGACGTCCCCTGCCAGCTCCCCTTGCGCCGCAAAGAGAAGCATAGGTCTGGGAAGTCCATCTTCCGCTGTACAGCTACAGGTGGCGCAAAAGCTTGCTATCTCGACTACAAAGGAGCTCGTTCGTGTGAGCATCAAGTCCCCGATGAGAGCGGAACCAAAAACCTCTCACGTAAATTAGAAAACCCCCTTCCTTCTGGAGCAAGCTGCTCCAGAGTTCCATCTCACGCTGCGGAAGGTCGGAGCACTAGAGAACCACAACACAGGAATCCCTCTGGTCAATTTCACGAACGAGATGTTGCAGGCTTCACGCAGTGAGTGATAGGAGTTGTGAACGCGATGTGGGCCACAGGAGGTCCGAAGATTCGAGTTCATAGTATGGGAAAGGGAACTTTCCTGTTCAAAATCCCAAGTGAGCGGAAGAAAGATGAAATTTTGCGCAGAAATTTCCGGTACATTAGCGATTGCCCAATGTTCACCACTGTCTGGGATCTGAATCACAGGCCGAAAAAGCCTGCGTTGAGTTCAGTACCAACCTGGATCAATCTACAAGTCTTAATCGGTTAGCTACATGTGTGGGGGGCCACTATACCTATACCCTCTCACAGAGTCCAAATCAGTGTTCAACTTTGCGAAAGTTTATTTTGAGATCAGTATGACCAAGTCACCGCCAAGACAGATTGCAATCACCCTGCTCGGGGAGGAGGAGAGATATATCAATGTTGCCTACGAATGGTTACCGCCCATCTGCGATCACTGCTCCGAAATTGGGCATACGACCAAGTATTGTCCACTACCAACTGGCCTAACAGGGGAAAATCCTACTGTCCAAGGAAAGCAACAATGGCAGAAGAAGTCATCACCTGTGATAAAGGATCCCGAACCTATTGAGAAAGCCCAATTGTCACAGCTTCCAGATCAGACGCAGAAACTCCCGGCAGAAACCCTCCCGTGTATAGCTAAGAGGTCAGATGAAGTGGCTGAGAACACTACGATTTCAGCCGATGCAGTATCCTCTGGTTCGTTGGTGCAGGAACCGGATGTAAACGATACTCCCCAAAGAACCCAGGGATCGAACGAGGATGCAAAAACATCGAACAAAGGACGACCTACACCAGAGCCAACGGGGACTAGTGATAAGATCACTACTAAGTCAGGGCAGGAATGTGCTATTATAGAAAATACTTAGCTGTCGAAGATGGGACAGAAAGTAGTGACCATCCTGGGACGAAACGAGGGAAATCGCGAGGTCGTGGTAGCAATATAACGAAGAAGAAAGGTATTTAACCAAAACAGCTCTATGATTTTTTGCTGGAATACTAGAGGGTTGAACGATAAGAATAAAAGTCACAGCGTGAAGCGATAGATTTTGGATCAGAAGGTAAAGATCGGAGGCCTTTTGGAATCGCACTTTAGAACCCAGAACGCAACAAGGGTCCGAGCTTCCATACCTCCGGGTTGGAAGTATTTTTGCAAGCATGGAGCTGACCCCTCGGGCAAGATTTGGGTGGTCTGAGATCCTAATTTACTACTCCACATCTACCAAGCTACAAGCCAGACTGTCACTTGCGGATAGTTTGACCCCGCACAAGTAAGAACATATACAATCACTTTTGTCTACGCCAAAAATACTCCGACAGAAAGGAGGGTGCTTTGGGAGGAGTTGGCTCGGCTCAGTAGGAATCCGCTGATCCGAAGAAGCTCGTGGGCAGTTCTAGGCGACTTTAACCAATTCCTTCACTGCGACGAGAGATCAGATTTACAAATACCGAGTGCTTCTATTCAAGGAATGGAGGACTTCCGAGCTCTTCTCGATGAATCAGGCCTATACGACATGCAATTTAGAGGGCTTCAGTATACATGGTGGAATAAGCACCAGTTGGACCCTATTGCGATAAAATTGGATCAGATACTGATAAATGATACTTGGTTTGAGAGACTCCCTACGACATATGCAGAATTCCGAAGCCCGGGCCCTTCTGACCATGCGCCGAGCATTATCCATCTCCCGTCCAATGATGTCCAGGTGCGAAAATCTTTCAAATATTTTCCGCATATTGCTCAACACCCTAGTTTCCTACAGGTTGTGAAGGACAACTGGAACTATGAAGCGGCTATGGGCTCTAAACAGGCAAGACTGAAGAAATCATTGAGAGACCTTAAGAGGCCCATGCGAGACCTTAACCAAACACATTACGGCAACATTACGGGTAGGGTAAGGGAGCTGGAGGGAAATCTATATGTTATCCAAGACCACTACTACAAAATCCGTCACCAGAGTTTACTCAAGCTGAACACACGATAATACATGCTTGGAGCAATATGGTGCGAGTAGAAGAGAATTTTTGAGGCAGAAATCGCGGGTTAGATGGCTTCGACTCGGTGACCGAAATTCAAGATTCTTTCACAGGGTTATGAGGGCGAGGAATGTGCAGAATCATATCCACTACTTGGTCGATGAAGTGGGAAACCGGATTACCTCAACCGATGAGATCAAGAATCACGTGATAGACTATTATTAGAGAGTGTATGGGGAAAGAGAAGCTGAACACACACGGATTCAGCGGGATGATCTGAGGGAACTGTTGCATTTCAGATTTAATGAGGAAGCTCACGGACATCTAACTGGGGAGGTAACATCGGAGAAAATAATTGCTGCCTTCCGTACAATGCCAAACAACAAAAGCCCTGGACCAGATGGTTTTCCCAAAGAATTCTTCTCTGACGCTTGGGACATAACGGGAGCAAGTTTCATTGAAGCAGTGAAGGAGTTTTTCAGATCGGAAAACTTACTAAGAGGGCTAAACGCAACGATCATCACCCTAGTGCCAAAGAAGCCGGGAGCCGATAGGTTAGCGGATTTCAGACTGATCAGCTGCTGCAACATGATATATAAGGTAATCTCAAGGATACTAGCACAAAGACTTAAGCCGATACTGGGAGGGTGTATTTCAAAAAATCAATAAGCTTTTCAGAGTGGTCGTCTCATGATGGATAATGTCCTACTTGCCTCGGAGCTCATTAGAGAGTATTCATTTACAGCACGGGAGAAAAATGCGATTGTAAAATTGGACATTAGGAAGACCTTTGATTCTGTTTGGTGGGATTTTGTTGTGGAAGATCTTATTCTTACGTGTAACGAGATTTATAAATATTTGTAACTTCTTTTTATTATTGTATAAATTATCATACATATATAAATAGAATTTTCAGTTGCTCCAATGTTAAAAACTGATTGGCACTACAAATAAAATGAGCATGCTCTAAATTTCAATAAATGGTTGAAAAATGAATCGAATGGTATACGTTATTTGGCTGATTGTAATATAAATATGTACGAATATACATATATATATGTATATATGTATGTAGCCTTTCGGCTCAATAAGTGCGTGTGTGGACATATCACTCGCATTGCGCATACCTCTCATAAATGAAAATGCGAATTTCATGTCATGGACCCATATATAGGATTATATATATACATGTATATATGTATGTAGTTGTAGATATTCTTTAAGCCATTCGTGCGTCTCCCAACAAAAAAAAAGGTATCTTATTTTACATATGGCCATTATTATGCGGGTGATTGCGTGAATATTTCTTTCTGATCACGAAAATCTAAAGCGTTTGGCAAGATATTAAATTAGAATATGACTTAGTATAAGTTACACAAAATTTGGAAAAGAAAATTGTCAGGATGTAAGTTATAAATTCATCAGCATCATACTAGAAAACGTGAAAATATATTTTATATAAGACACATGTAAACCACTTTCAGAAAATTAAAGTATCAATGTACAAATGTATTATTTTTTTCGCATTTAAATATATTTCTTATTTTAAATAAATTCAAAAAAATTATAAGATTTTTAATATTAGTTTCTATTTTTCTCCAATGAATTAATCTGATCGTTTTTTTGTACGACATGAAGCAAATATCAATGACTATAAGCGGAACAAATGATCTTGTTCCACGGCGCTATCACATATCCGAAGCGTGAAACAAGAAATTATAACTTGAAAATGAACCAGAAAACAATTATAAAATCAGACAAGAAAAATAAAATTATAACATTGATTTGAAATATCGTTAGTCCAAATTTCACATCCGAGTCTCTATTCTCGTGAAATATGACACGAGACAGCAACGTGTGTGACTTATGCAATGACCAAACTCTAGTAAGAGACTTTTTTATTTATTTTTTGTTGTCTTCTTTAGGTAAAATGTTATTATTATTATTATTATTTTATATTAAATAAGATGCCCGGATCCTTAAAAAAATCTATACATGTAAAATATATAATATCTAAAATTTTCTGTTCATGTATAAATCAGATGCAACCCTCGTGACCACGAGTGCTACTTAGATGTTTCCTACTCATTGTTAAACTGTTTCTACTATCTCTGACTCTGAGCCCCGCGAAGAAATAATCAGGACAAATACCATAATTAAATATGAATGATTAATTAGAAGATCTAAAACAAATCATACGAAACAATCCGAAAAAGGTAGACAAATCTCAATCTTCTTGTCCGGAAGCTGACAAAGCATGATGATCTGGCATTGTCCCTTCTCGGCACGTGCGAACAGATCAGCGGTGTGTAATTTTTTGGTAAATTTTTGGTACAGAAGAAATTGCCAAAAAAATCTTATAGCCTCTCCATCAATAAAAAAAATTCTATAATTTTTTAGTTACCAATTAAACTCTGTATTTGATGTGATTAATCTATAGAACTCCAAATTTTTTAAAAATTTATCGAACCCCACTTTCTATCAACTCAAACAAAAATGATGATTTGGTAATGACATGATTTTTAAATCATACAACATCTTCATAATTATATCATATTATCATTTCAAATAAATTTTAAATTAAATAATTTATTTAAATTAGTATATATACATATAAATTCACACGTATAAAAAAAACCAATAGAAATAATGGAGTAGATCCGACAATATCATATATATAGACATTGATTTAGATGATTTATATTGGAATACTTTTGACAGAAAAATATTAAAAAGGAAAAAAACTCAGTATTCTTTCCATGTTAACGAAAAACTTTGTACGTTTTTGTTTACCAATTAAACCTTATATTTGGTATGAATTGCGAACTTTTTAAAAATTCATCAAAAATCTCTTGTGTCTGCCAACTCAACCAAAAATGATAATGTGACAATAACATGGTTTTCATGTCATGATCAAATCATAATAATTATATCATATCATCATTTCAAATAAAATTTAAATTAAATAATTTATTTCAATTAATATATATATATATACAAATTCACACATACATATATATATATATTAAATATAAAATTACTTATAACTAATAAAATACATATACATATCTATAATATATATATTATAAATTATATTATAAATATTATATATACATATTATTTTTAATAGATATATTATATGTATATATATTAGTTATAATTATTTTTATTTTAATATATATACATATACGTATTATTTTTAATATACATTATATGTATGTTAGTTATAATTATTTTTATTTTAATATATATATATATATTAGTTATAATATACGTATATATTATAGTTATGCGTATATGTATTTTATTAATTATAAATAATTTTATTTTTAATATATATATGTATATGCGAATTTATATATATTAATTTAAATAAATTTTTTAATTTAAATTTTATTTAAATTGATGATGTGGTATAATTATGATGATGTGTGCATGATTTGGAAGCCATGCCATTGTCACATCATCATTTTTGTTTGAATTAATAAAAAATTTGGGATTTTATGAATTAATCAATAAGTGAAAAAGTATTAGATTTTTTCGCTGATCCGGAAATAATACATGGATTTTTTTAATGATATCCCCTTTTAATTATAAGGGATTGTCGAGTCAAATATTTTGCGATGTGAGACGTGGGGTTGCTTATATGGGTATTATAAAAAATACCTTTACTTTACTATTTTTATTTCAACACATAATCTTCTCTAATTGTGACCATGTAATTTATGTGACCTGAAACATAGTGTGGTTATATGTTGATCTCATTATTCATAATGTTAAATTTATGAAGTTTTAATCAAATAATTAGTAAGATATATAATGTATGAATATAATGAATTAGTGAAATCATCATAAATTTAACGTTATAATCAATAAAATAAAAATATTATCACACTATACTTTAGATCACATGAATCATATGATCACAACTGGATAAAGGTATATATTGAAGTAAGAATAACAAAATACATATATTTTTTATATAATACCTACTTATGGGGATCAGATTTTCTGTACCAGAACCGGAAATATTCGACATGTAATTTATACATGACTGCAGTATCCAATATATACATACAGTGATTAGATATATTCACACACTAAAATGTTACACGGAAAATTTGTTGTTTGTGAAATATTTTTGGTTGGAATTTGTCGCTTACAAAATTTAATTTTTTAAATCAATTTAAAGAAAAACAAATACCCTCTTATATGATCCATGGGCCTTCAGCCCAAATGAATGGGCTTTCTATGAATATCAAGATAATATTTTGCTGGCCTTTGAATATCGGATCCGACTCAATCAGATATACTTTGGTCCATTGCTAAATAAATCCTAAGAGAATGAATATAAAAAACATTACATTTATCCGTAACTTCCTTCCCACAAGACAACCCAAACCACTGTAAAACAGAACAAACAAGGAAAAAAGGCCACCGCATGTATAAAAAACCCGGAGAAAGCCTTCCTCAAGTTCTTCTCTACGCCCGCTTTGATCATTTACAGATTCATCAAGAACACAGAAAAAAAAAGTTTTTTTGTGTGAATATGTTTCCAGAAGAAACCCTAAATGACTTCCTGTCTGGTTACCCTCAGGACACTCTCTCCATGTCCTTCGGACAAGCCGCCGTTCTCGCTTATGTTCGTCCTCCTTCCTCCTCCTCTGTTCACCGGAGGTATTCCACGTCGGAGAGTGTTTTAGCACATTTCTCTAAAGGATTGGACGGGTTAGGTCTTGTATCTGATGTGTTAGACCTTGTTTACCTGATAATTTCTCTTAGTTTTCCTCATGAATTTCTGTTCAGCTTCAAGATTTACGTTTTTCTTTTTATTGGGTGTTCATCTTTCTCAATACAAATGTTGAAATCTTCCGTTATCTGAAGCCCCTTTTCAAAGGATCCAAAGAAATGGACGTAGAATCAGTAAAGTTTATGGCTTTGTCTACCTGATCAATAGTACAGTAGTCCGATTTGATATTCGTAACATGGGTTTTGCTGCAGGGTGTTTTGTGGGATTGACGACATATACTGTCTTCACTGCTCTGGTAAGACACCTATCAACATCTTCAGTGTTCTTTTCATGTCTGAATCTTTGACAGAATCTTGGCTCAAACTTTGGAAGCAGGGCTCTGATGGAGGAGTGGAGCTGTATTGGGGAATAGCAGCAGATGGATCGGTGGTGAAAAACCCTAATCAGAAAATCCATAAAAAGCTTGGACAACATAGTGGAGCCTTCTACCATTAGAGAGATGTGAAATTGGATTTTCCAAATGCCGCAAAAGTTATTACGTTTCTTACAGTCGATTCTGCAGTAGCCAAGTCTCTAAACACTCAAATCACTCGGGGAAAAAAAGAAGAAATTTAACAACAAAGAATCTTCTCAGCTAGCTTTGTCGTTCCGGATATTCCATCCTCGTCTAGGCCAAGCCAACGAGCTTCTCGCTGATCTCCCACATTTTCCGAGCCTTCTCGACGTCGCTCGCTTCCTGCGACAACTGGTTCTCGAACGAGGCCGAGGCCTTGTTCCAGCTCCAATACACTCCCGACTTGGTCAAGCTCGGATCGCTCACCACCTGAGCAAGTCTCTTGCCAGATTCTGCTTCCGACACGAACCCTTTCGTGATGTACTTCTGGAAGGGAGGGAAGAGGAGCCTGAAGAGAGGAATGTGCTCTCTGAACAAACGCGTCGTGGCGATGCAACCAGGGTAGAGCGAGGCGAACGTTATGCCCGTTTCTTCGTGGTAACGCCTGTGGAACTCCTGCATTGTCAGCATATTGCAGACTTTACTGTCTTTATACGCCTTTGCCCCATCGAAATCCCCTCCATCTATCATTGCAGAGCTGTTTAATCCGTTTAATCCCCCTGCTAATCCCCGCAAGTCTCCGAGATTCGCCTTGGGCGGCACGTTACCCGCCAATGTATTCGTGTTCCCTAAGCAATCAGACAGATGAATTCTTGAGAAATCAGATCAAAACCCGAAAAAGGGTTCATCGTTTTGAGTTTACCTGTGATGGAGCCGACGATGATGAGACGTTTAGAAGGGTAATCGGAGTTCTTCAAGTCGTCGAGCAATAGCCTCGAGAGAAGGAAATGTCCTAAATGGTTCGTCCCGACGCTGAGCTCGAACCCTTCGGCTGAGAAGGAAGGTTCCTTAGCCGTGGGCAAGTAAACTGCAGCATTGCAGACCAATACATCGAGAGGCAGTTCCTTCCTTCTGAAGTTATCGACAAATTGCCTAACGCTATCCAACGAGGCGAGGTCTAAATGCATGACCGTGTACCCCTTCGGCATCCCCGCCGATTTCGCTGCTCTCTCGGCCTTGAGAAAGTCCCTGCAGGCCATGATCACATGCCATTTCCCGGTCTCGGCCAATGCCTTAGCCGTTGCTAGACCTAACCCTGATGAGGCTCCTGTCACGATTACGTTCCCTTTCCTCAGAGTTTTCTTGCCTTCCACGGCAGGTTTGCTTATGGCTGGACTCGAAGTCGCAGCAGTTTGAGCTCTTATCGCTCCATTCCTCGCGTTGTATTCCCTCTGCATGGCCAGATTTTAAGTTCAGTAATTGCAGAGAACAGTAACTGATAAAACCAGAGAGCTCTATATAGGTACTGTAATATCAGAATCTCGATCGTTCGGACAAAGCCCTAGCTTGGATGAAATCCAGACATCGAACCAAACCCATCAGTTTCAGAGTTTAAGAACATGTGTATATTGTATGATCTCTAATTAACCTTGCATTTCAATGGCGAAGAGCCGAAATCAGCTCTGATTTGGTCTGGAAGCGAGACTCCAAAAAGGCTAGACTCCTTGAACGACGATGCATTCGATTTTCCCTGCAACCAAACAGATCCAAGAAAACAGAACCGACATTCGAGAAAATAATTAGCTCAAACCTCAAAACCAGACCACGCAGAAAGATTAGAAGGATTTTGAAAAGAAACCTCTTTTCGGACAGAGAAAGCAGAGGAAACCAGAGAAGCAGCTTGGAGAGCCATTGTTCTTTCTTAGAGGCTTTTAAAGATCTGTTTCGAATCGAAGTGGCTCTTGCGAGAGCGTGTGTGTATATATACAGAGCCAAGGAGTTTGTGGATGTGATTTTTCGGACAAGGGCGGAGAGTGGTCCCCGCTTGAGGATATGTGTGGATAAGATAATCCCCGGGGAAAGTATCTGCCACGTCACCAGAAAACAACCAATCAGAATTCGAGGATTAGATTTCCTCTTGGAAGATATTTTATTTTTATAGATTTTTTTTTGTTTTGTTTTGGTTCGTGATTGGTCTCTATGGGATTCCATCCCTTGGTATGGGAGGGGAAGAAGGTAGGCAGATTGTTCAGAACTTGCTCGGCATTGTTATCAACGGTCCAATTTCTCCACAAATATTTCATTGTTTTTTAAAAGAAAATAATCATTTTTTTTCTATGTTGCCTTTTTTTTGGGTAAACTTTGGCATTTCAAATGAATTTAGAAATGCAACTGATTTGGATTTTTACTTATCAATTTAATCCCTTTTAGTGCAATGAGAAGGGTTAGTCTAAAGTCATTGATCTTCCATTTATTTCATTTAGTATATATTAGACAATTAAGTCATTTTTTTCGTTGTTTATATACATATATATTTTTTTTTATTTCGCCTCCTAATAACAATAGTGCTGATTGAAATCTCCATGTATATATATGTATATACCCACAATATTTGACAAACTAAATAAATCCATCGCTATAAAAATTTTCGCAAGTGCTGTGAACCCATAACATAACTTTATATATTACCTTAACTCTAACTCTCTCTAGCTCATGGAATGACATAACGCACTGGCCACCTTAATCCGCTTATGATATCATATGTTTAACATAAGAGCTAGCTACGTTATAAAGTCCAACAATTGTCTCTTCGTCAAATCGGTTGAAAGTTACAAATCACATTCATTTATAAAAAGATCATGTATTCTATAGTCTGACCTATCCGAAGGACCCAACAATATTTCACTCATTCAAGAAGAACAAATCACATCTTAACTATTTATTATTCTCCACATGATTCATAACATACTCAAACACTGTCATTATAAAAATCCGGTTAAAGTCGATATTTGAATGATATAGAATGTATTATTCCTCACATCGAATAGTATAGATATCACTACAAAAAAACAGACATTTTGCAACGAAATTAGCAACGAAATTCATTTCGTTGCAAACTTTGCAACGAAATTGCAACGTTTTGCAACGTTTTGACAACGATTTTACCATATTTTGCAACGTAATATTGTTGCAAATCCGATTAGCAACGCAATTTCGTTGCAAATTCGATTAACAATACAATTTCGTTGCAAATTCGATTAGCAATACAATTTCGATGCAAATCCAATTAGTAACAAAATTTCGTTGCAAAATCAAAGATAAAATTTATGGCCATGGTTGGTTTGATTTTTACATCTTTTACAACGAAATTGCGTTGCAAATTAGGAAAGAAATTGCATTGCTACTCGGATTTGCAATGAAATTGTGTTGGAAAGTTTTTCTATATATTCAACATCCAAACACAATTCAAACACAATCCAACAATCACTCTAAAAATTATCTAAAATCTCTATCTTCCTCAACTTTTAAAAAAAATCAAATAAAAAATATATTTTATTATTTTTATTAAATATTTATTTTATTAATATTTTTTTGTTAATTATTTATTTATAAACCTTAATTACAACTCTTAAATAAATTTTATAATACTACAAATATATATATATATATATATATATATTATTTTTATTTAATATTTTATATTATTTTTATTTAATATTTATATTTATTTTTAATTAATTATTTTTTAAATTTTAATTTTAATTCTTAAAAAACCCTAAAATTCTATTTTTTTAATTTTAAATTAATTTTAGCAAAAAAATTGCGTTGCTAATTTTGCAACGAAATTGCATTGCAAAATTAGCAGCGCAATTTTTTTTATTGCAAAGCGTTGCAACTTGCAACGAATTGAAACGCTATATTGGTTTGCAACGATGAGTTAGCAACGAAAATTTTTTCATTGCACACCCTGTTTTGCAACGAAATTTGTTGGTTTGCAATGAAAATTTTTCGTTGCTAAAAAACTGTTTTTTTTGTAGTGTAACTGAGGTATGAGGATCCAAAACAAACCAATACATGATATTCAAGTCATGGTTCACATCCATGTGATAATCTCTTTCGGGTCATCTATAAACTTGTTCCAAACAAGTACTCATGGTTGTGATATGTACCCAATGATCATCTTTATGATCATATATCATGCATCATGTTAGTTTTAATTCATCACCGTTTCTACGATTATGAGCGATTAGATAATTTAGAATCGTTTTGAAACGATTTAATAACAAATATAAAAATTATATAACGAAAGTATAATACATTCAACAAATGGATCATTAATACAAAGTATGCAGTTATTATACGTAGATTACCCCAAAGCATCTAAATCAACACTTTGTGGGTAGCTTCGCTTAGCTTTAACATAATCAAGAGACGAGATTATTGAGATACAAATCCAAGCCCTAGAATGTCATTGGACCTTAGAAAGCTAGTCAATATGAGAGATATTGTTACACCATTCCTACGATACGCAATAGGGGATGAGACTACAACTAGCTTTTGGTTTGGCAATTAGACTATTCTAGGACCGTTGATTGAGCATGTCGGTATATAGGGTCTCAGAATGTTGTGAATCCCTCGGAATGCTAATGTTAGGAATGCTTCAAATGAAATAGAATGGTTACTAATAGGAGCAAGATTGTGACACCCGTAACCCGTATACAGTATACGGGCTGTGCCACATGGACGATATAAGATAAAATAATAAATCGCGGAAGCAAAATTACGAAATCCAAAAACATTTTAAAACAAATCAGAGTAAGCAGCGGAAAATACAACGCGATCAGTATCGCAAAATGACACATGTCCGAGTAGTCATAATATAACCGTACAAAATGCGGGAATACAAGTCTCATAGTCTAGAATAAAAATCTCGTACATGATGCTGCTTCTCTCAGGTCGTCGTCGTCCGATGCGCTAGGCGTAATGTTCGTGATCTGAAAAATATAAAACCACGAGGGCTAAGCACAACCGCTTAGTGAGTAGCCCGGGTTGAACCCAGAAATCCCGTTTCCACTAAGAACGGTACAGTCGACATTTTCATAAAACACATGCAATAAGTAAGAACACAGTAAGCACATAAATAGCAAATACAATCATACCCATATGGAGTCCACCATAGGGTTTAGCCGTATACCCTAGTCAAGTCGGCATGACTAGGGGCGCCTCCATGCCCGTCACTCGCGTGACGTTGGCCATCGTGTCGCACACGACTAAAACACATCTCAAACGCCTGTCAAGTCTATGACGATGATGGTTGAGTCCATAACCATCCACAAGCACAATCAGGCTTAGCTCGTACGCACGAGTAAGCTACACACATGGCACACAACGTGCATATATCCCCAGAGTACAAACATACGCGTCACGGCATCCGGTCCCTACCGGCTACCGTCCTGCGCCATGCAATTCTATCCACAAAACAATCATGCAACGGTCACTCATATATCCTTATCGCACACCTCACTACGCCACGTAACGTCTTGACGAGGAATCGAGATGATTGATCTCAATCGCGAAGCTTGTCCTTTGGTGGGGGTTTGGACCGCCCATGATCAAGTCTGGTTAGGCCCGGGCCAACCCCGTTGGTCGTTTTCTCTTTCCCGGTCGAATCGGCAAATTTTTCTAATTTTTCTCTGAGTCTGGTCCGGCGGACCACGTTCTGGTCAGCCCCGAACCAGTGCTCTTTTCCCTAGTCCGCTCCGTCTCTTGGTCAGTCGGTCCGGGAGAGAAAACTGGTCTGGTCCGGCGGACCAGGGTTGGTCAGCCCCGGACCAGCCTACTCTTTCTCTCTCGGTCCGCCTCTTCTGGTCCGGCGGTGTGCGTAACCTCGGAACACGTCTGGTCCGGCGGATCAAATCTGGTCAGCCCTGGACCAGGCGTGTTTTTCTCTCGGTCCAATTCCTCTTCTCCTGGTTCGGCGGATCTCACGTGTATTTGTTCCAGTCTCGGTCCGGAGCTGACCACGCGTGGTCCGGCGGACTGGGACTGGAACTCTCTCTCGACTTCGCCATTTCCAAATTCTCTTTCGATTTTTCTCACTCTAATCGATTCGGGGTTACTTCCAAATGCTTCTAAAACATAGTTTGACATCCCTAGACATGTTCTAAGCCTCAAACACGTAAAGAAATCTCGATTTGCACCACCACACATTGAAAACAAGATCTCACAAATCCAACTCAAGCCACTCACCTTGTTCTTGAGGTTGTCCGAGCTTGTGTGCGTCCTCTGCTTCTCCTCACACCGTGAACACCTTCAGGGCACGTCTAGGAACGTTCCCCTTTGTTTCCCCGAGCTTCCCTTGTCCTGGTTCGTCTCCTTTCTCCCCCTTTCTCATCTTTCTCTTCTTCCTCTGTTTTGGTCCGGAAATGCCTAAATCCGAGTTTGGGAGGTGTTTATGGCGCGAGAGAGAAGCTAGATGGGCTCGAGCCAAGGCCCATAGGCGAGCCTGCAACGTCCTCGAGGCATGGGAGGCGACTGGACGGCAAGTGGACCCCGGAATCCGACAAATTCCGCGTTCCAAGGTGGGAACAGAGCAAGTTGCGTTTTCTGTTAAATCCCGATCTGCCGGACCAACTTCCTGGTCCGCCGGACCGGGGACACTTTTATTTATTTTTTTGCGATTTTTCCCCAGTCCGCTCAGCTCGGTTTGCTCCGACTGAATAGGTTGGTCCGCCCCGGACTAAGTCCTGGTCCAGCGGACCAACCCTGTTTTTTTTTTCTTTTCTCTTTTTTTTTCTTCATTCCTTTCCGATCCTTTCCGCGCGTGACGATCCTCGTGCCTCTCCCCGGCATTGTACTATTCGTTTTGGGTGATTTCTTGACATCTCTATTTAATTATTTATTTCTAAATAATTAATATTTAAACCGGGTTTCGGGGTATTACAAATCCTCTCCCCCTTAAAAAGAATT